GCCTCCCTCTTGGCTCCACTCAGCTGCCTTTAAGCGCGTAACCGTGGCGACAGGAGCGAGGGGTCACCATGGAGACCGGAGTGATGCAAGGAGGCGCGTTTGTGTGGGCAGAGGGTCGCCATGGCAACCAGGTATCCAGGCACTCAGCATCCGAGGTCCCTTTAACGGGCGGCCGACCCACGACGGCGACGAGCTCCTCCGCCGAGTCAGACGCTCGAGCGGCACAGGCGGCTCAGCGCTCGCCCCCTAACCACGGGGTTTAGACTCCAAATAACAGCCTCTCCTGTGTTTCTCATTATGAACAGTTGTACGGTTGTAGGGAGTATTATCTGCCACATAAGTGTGAGCTGTTGTACAGTTGTAGGGAGTATTATCTGTTCCATAAGTGTACCATTGTAGGGAGTATTATCTGTGACATAAGGGTGAGTTGTACAGTTGTAGGGAGTATTATCTGCTACATAAGGGTGAGTTGTATAGTTGTAGGGAGTATTATCTGCTACATAAGTGTATATTTGTAAGGGAGTATTATCTGTTACATAAGGGCGAGTTGTACAGTTGTAGGGAGTATTATCTGAGTTGTTGTACAGTTGTAGGGAGTATTATCTGTTACATAAGGCAGAGTTGTACAGTTGTAGGGAGTATTATCTGTTACATAAGGCAGAGTTGTACAGTTGTAGGGAGTATTATCTGTTACATAAGGCAGAGTTGTACAGTTGTAGGGAGTATTATCTGCTACATAAGTGTATATTTGTAGGGAGTATTATCTGTTACATAAGGGTGAGTTGTTGTTTACAGTTGTAGGGAGTATTATCTGAGTTGTTTTACAGTTGTAGGGAGTATTATCTGAGTTGTTTTACAGTTGTAGGGAGTATTATCTGAGTTGTTGTACAATTGTAGGGAGTATTATCTGTGACATGAGGGCAAGTTGTTGTAGAAAAATACAGAAAGTTTACAAAACCGACTTCCTCTGCTTATGTCATCGACAGAAAACTCCGCCCAGTTTTCAGTCGGACAGTTTGATAACACGAGGAAGGAACTTTTTCTGACACTTTGAACCGTTACTTAACTTAAATAAAGAGTTTTATTAGATATTCTGGCCCGTGTTTATATAAGTTTATATAAGTTAGGTAACAAACTTATTACATCACGCCCAGTTTAATGCCCCGGCCCCGGCGCCGTCTCTTATCGTACTGATTTTTGTAGCTCCGCTGGTTTTTTCTTTGTAAAAAAAAAAAGGACTTGACACTCCGTCCTGACGATCATGTGTATTTATAATATTTATTCTCAGTCATTTTCAACTCCATAAACACATCGAAACACCGTGAAAACTAAAATAAAGACGGACACAGAAAAAGGCTTAAGCTTTACATAAAAACCTTTAAATAAATGCACTGAAATTGAATTAAAAACAGTATTTACCGTGTTCGTCTGCACATCACCAGCAGGAGTTTAGTCGCTTTTCTTTAATTTTGACGTCTTTTTCTTTACACTTTTTTCTGTGTTTCTCTCTGTCGTCTTTTTCTCTCTTTTGCGGCTACTATTTTTCTCTGGGGCAAAAGGTAAAAAGTCACAGAACATTTTCCAAATAAAATATGACAATTAATAACTGTGGTGTTCTGACACGTCTTAAATATTTGAACAAATAAATAATGATTTTCTGACTTATGACCATGAAAACAAATATACTGACTTTATCATCAGCTACAGTTTTAGACTCCAGTCCGACCTGCGCGCTCACTCAGGTCAGCAGGTCGTTTGTTTGTGGTCGATCGCTCTTTACACAGGCTATTCAGGTTTTTAAATCAGCTCTTGAAAACTCACCTCTTCACTTTTAGTTTCACTGTGATTAATGTCGACTTTTCAGTATCTGGTGTCTTCTGCTTTTTCTAATCTCTAATTCTAATCATGTGTCGCAGGTTAATACAAACTTTTTAAAACCAACATGTCGAGGCTCAGATCAGCAGCAGGTACAGAGAGAGGAGCCACAGTATTATAATGTAAGTCAACGGGAGCCAGAGTCAAAAGGAGTCAGAGCCACATGAGAACTTCTCATTTGGAACGCGGCGGTTAGTGCGTCTGTCCATTTATACAAACACTAAACAGTCCGTGCTTTTGTAATTATTGTTGTGTACTGCACTTTGGCCAAGTGTGCTGTTTTTAAAGTGCATTAGAAATAAAGTTGGATTGGAACTAGGGTAACGCTGGGAAACGCTTATGGAATGAGCAGAAGAATCCACAAGAACCGTGTTATAGTTGTTTCACCGTTGACTCTCTCAGAGTTGTACTTGGAGTTATTTGTGTGTGTTTGATCTTTAATCAGTTTCAACTCCTCAACCCTCCACTGTGACGTCTACGCTGTGACATACACACTAGGGATGGGCATGATTAGTCGATTAATCGATAATTGATCATTAAGAATTTCATCGATTACGTTCATTTTAATCGACAAACCGAATGTAGGTGTGTATCGTGATCAAACAGGTGTACATGTGTCTCTGCATCAGAAGGAGCGAGACACAAACAGTGGGTCAGTCTGTAACGAACCGAAGCACAAATGTGGATTTAACCAGGATTTGGACAAGAAATTCCACACTTTCCGTTGCGTTGGGACAAGTGTGAGTCCATGTGCACAGTGGATAAAGCAGCACATATGTTTCTGTGTCCAGTGGGAAAAAGTTTTTCCAGGTGAGAGTCGCTCAATGTGGATGACGAGGCCCCGCCCCCCTCCCCCCGTACGCTGTCCTGGTTTTGACAAACACAAATCTGGTCACACTGACCTGTATTCACCTGAGTCATGTCTTTTAATCCAACACAAGTTGAACCACATCAGCGACACAAGAGCTGGAGTTTTATCTTCACTTAGTTTATGTAAATTAGTGATGTGGTTTTAAGTTTTGTTTCTGTGAGATTTGAACAAAACTGAATTAAACACATTATAATGTCAAACAGCTGATGTGGATCTAGAGTCGTTATGTTTATATGTCGTAAAGTTGAATTTATTTATGCAGATTAGTGCAGATAGTAATAATAATGATGATCATTTTAATATAAAAACATTAATGATTAATCGATAATCGATCGTTAATTCTTCATGTTCTTCATGGTGACACTTGTAGGTTTGGGCAATGTGGCGTCGTTGTTTTGGTCCAAATGTAAAAATGTTCTGCTCTCGTGTGATGTACAGCAGGAGGACGGACCACAGACTGGTTTAGTCCTGGTTTAGTCCTGGTTTAGTCCTGGTTAGTCCTGGTTTAGTCCTGGTTTAGTCCTGGTTTAAATAATTAACTGTATAACGCCTTTCAAGATCCCCAAAGCACTTTACAGTTCATTATTCATTCACTCCACCTCGGTGGTGGTGAGGTACTGCTGCAGCCACAACTGCCCTGAGGCAGACTGATGGAAGTGAGGCTGTCAATCTGCACCATTGGCCCCTCCCACCAACACTCTCACACTTTCATACAGACAATGTGGGTGAAGTGTCTTGCCCAGTGTCTCCATCCAAGTCCAGTCCAGACTCGGTCCTGCTGAGCGTCTCAGATGTGACAGGATCAGACTGACCACGTCCTGGTTTGGTCCATGTGGTGTTTTGTTTTGACTCCACAGTTTTTTAACGCTGAAGTCGTCGCACTTGTTAAGTTTTATGAAGTCGTTTAAGATCAATATTGTGATTATAAAATGTCACAATTAGAACAGAACGATCCACAGAGGTCAAAGGTCAAAGGTCAAAGGTCAGACTCACACAGACACTAAAAGTCTGATTTATGTTTTAGTGAAATGAATCAAACATGTGACATTTCCACTTCAGACACTAAGACAGTGTGTTCTGTTTGACTGCACCTGTCCTCTCACCTGTCTCACCTGTCCTCTCACCTGTCTCACCTGTCTGTCACCTGTCTCACACCTGCGTCTCACACCTGTGTCTCACCTGTCTCACACCTGTCTCACCTGTCTCACTCTTGTCTCTCACCTGTCTTACACTTGTCTGTCACCTGTCTCACCTGTCTCTCACCTGTCTCTCACCTGTCTCACCCATCTGTCACCTCTCTCTCACCTGTCTCACATGTCCTCTCACCTGTCTCACCTCTCTCACCTGTCTCACATGTCCTCTCACCTGTCTCACCTGTCTCTCACCTGTCTCACCTGTCTCTCACCTGTCTCACCTGTCTAACTCTTGTATGTCACCTGTCTCACTCCTGTCTCACCTGTCTCTCTCTCTCTCTCTCTCTCTCTTGTCTCTCACCTGTCTCTCACCTGTCTTTCACCTGTCTCTCACCTGTCTCTCACCTGTTTCACCTGTCTGTCACCTGTCTCGCCTGTCCCTGTCTCTGTCACCTGTCTCACCTGTCTCACTCTTGTCTCTCACCTGTCTCACACTTGTCTGTCACCTGTCTCACCTGTCTCTCACCTGTCTCACACTTGTCTGTCACCTGTCTCTCACCTGTCTCACCTGTCTCTCACCTGTTTCTCACCTGTCTCTCACCTGTCTCTCACCTGTCTCTCACCTGACTCACCTATGTCACCTGTCTCTCACCTGTCTCACCTGTCTAACTCTTGTATGTCACCTGTCTCTCACCTGTCTCACCTGTCTAACTCTTGTATGTCACCTGTCTCACTCCTGTCTCACCTGTCTCTCACCTGTCTCACCTATGTCACCTGTCTCTCACCTGTCTCACCTATGTCACCTGTCTCTCACCTGTCTCTCACCTGTCTCTCACCTGTCTCACCTGTCTCACCCTTGTCTCTCACCTGTCTCACCTGTCTCACCTGTCTCACCTGTCTCACCTGTCTCACCTGTCTCACCTGTCTCTCACCTGTCTCACCTATGTCACCTGTCTCTCACCTGTCTCACCTGTCTAACTCTTGTATGTCACCTGTCTCACTCCTGTCTCACCTGTCTCTCACCTGTCTCACCTCACCTGTCTCTCACCTGTCTCACCTGTCTCACCTGTCTCACCTGTCTCACCTGTCTCTCACCTGTCTCACCTGTCTCTCTGTCTCAGTGGAGGGGATGAAGGTGGTGGAGATCGAGAAGTGCAGAAATGACATAAAGAAGCTTCGTGAGGAGATGGCGTCGCGGAGCACCAGGTCAGATGAAGATGAAGATGAAGGTCCACTTTGTCTTCTGTGTGTGTGGACTTTGTCTTGACGTGTGTCCGTGTCTCTCGCAGTAACTTCCTGGAGGACAATAAGAAGCTGACCCCGCGCAGAGACGTGCCTTCATATCCAAAGGTACGAGAGGAACCCAGAACACGGACTGAACCAGGACTGAACCAGGACTGAACCAGGACTGAACCAGGACTGAACCAGGACTGAACCAGGACTGAACCAGGACTGAACCAAGACTGAACCAGGACTGAACCAGGTGTAAAGTAGCAGACGTGCAGATGTGGATATCAGAGGAGGCTTCAGTGGGTTCCTCTAAGGTTCTCTCTGGTTCTCCTGCAGTACCATCTGTCCAAGGAGACCGTGGAGGCCCTGAGGCTGCCCACGTTCGACGCCTGGCAGTGGGAGCCCAACGAGGTGAGAGTCCGAACATCTGAACATCTGCATCTGAACATTTGAACATTTGAACATCAGGCGGACTCTCCCCAGAAAAGCTCCACGTTGTACCTTTAAAACAGACTGCAGGTTGTGTGTAGAAGTTGTGGATTGAACCTGATGCTCATTCTCTCTCTCCACAGATGCTGACCTGTCTGGAGCACATGTACCACGACCTGGGTCTGGTCAAGGACTTCAACATGAACCCCATCACCCTCAAGCGCTGGCTGGTGAGAACTCCACACATCCTGGTTTCTCCTGGTTCCTCCTGGTTTCTCCTGATTCCTCCTGATTCCTCTTAGTCCCCCCTGGTTCCTCTAGGTTCCTCTTGGTTCCCCTAGGTTTCTCTGATTTCTTCTGCTTCCTCCTGGTTCCCCTAGGTTTCTCCTGATTCCTTCTGGTTCCTCCTGGTTCCTCTAGATTCCTCTTGGTTCCTAGGTTTCTACTGATTTCTTCTGCTTCCTCCTGGTTCCCCTAGGTTTCTCCTGATTTATTCTGGTTCCTCCTGGTTCCTCTAGGTTTCTCCTGATTCCTTCTGGTTCCTCTTAGTTCCTCTAGGTTCTTCCTGGTTCCTCTGGGTTCCTCCTGGTTCCTCTAGATTCCCCCTGGTTCCTCTAGGTTTTTCCTGGTTCCTCTTGGTTCCTGTGTGTTCCTATTGGTTCCTCTAGGTTCCTTCTGGTTCCTCTAGGTTCTCCCTGGTTCCTCCTGTTTTTTTCTGGTTCCTTCTGGTTCTTCCTGGTTCCTATTTTTTTATTCCCAATCAACCCGAACCAGGGACGTTCCAGTTTTTTTTTTTTTTTTTTGAAGATCTGGTCTCTCTGTGTGCAGTTGTGTATCCATGACAACTACAGGAACAATCCCTTCCACAACTTCAGGCACTGCTTCTGCGTCACACAGATGATGTACAGCATGATCTGCCTGTGCAACCTGCAGGTAACACGGACCAAACCAGACCAAACCAGACCAAACTGGACCAAACCGGACCAAACCAGACCAACCCTAACCTAACTAGACTAAACCTGACCACACAGGACCGAACAGGACTGAACCAGAACAAACAGGACCAAAAGGGACCAACCCGAACCAAACAGGACCAAACCTGAGTTAACTAGACTAAACCACACCTAACCAGACCAGACCAACCCAGACCAAACCGGACTAACCGGACCAAACCAGACCTAACCAGACCAAACTAGACCAAACCCGACCTAAGCTAACCAAACCAGATAAAACTGGACCAAACCGGAGCAAATCTGACCTAACTAGACCAAACCAGACCAAACTGGACCTAACCAAACCTAACCAGACAAAACCGGACTGGACCAAAGCAGATCAAACCGGATCGAACCAGACTAAACCAGATCTAACTTAAACCTAACCAGACCTAACCCAGGCCAAGCTGGACTAAACCAGATCTAACCAGACCTAAACAGACTAAACTGAACCTAATCAGACCCAAACTGGACGAAAGACAGACTGAACCAGGACTAAATTAGAACTAAACCAGGACTAAATTAGAACTAAACCAGGACTAAATCAGGACTGAACCAGGTCTAAAGCAGGTGTGTTTTGCAGGAGAAGTTCACGCAGGTGGACATTCTGATCCTGATGACGGCCGCTGTGTGTCACGACCTGGATCACCCCGGATTCAACAACACGTACGACCTCTGACCTCTGACCTGCCCCTAGCCCCTCCCACTGCATGAAGCACTGACCAATCACAAAGCCCGACTTAAACACGTGACGCTAAACCAACTTTTACTCCCTTTAACTTCTAATGTTTGTTTCATTGGCTGAGTCCTCAAAAGTCTGTCTGTGTGTGTTGTGTGTGTGTGTGTGTGTGTGTGTCGTGTGTGTGTGTGTGTGTGTGTGTGTCTGTGTGTGTGTGTGTCGTGTGTGTGTGTCTGTGTGTGTTTGTGTGTGTGTGTGTGTTGTGCGTCTGTGTCTGTGTGTGTGTGTGTGTGTGTGTGTGTGTGTGTGTGTGTGTGTGTGTGTGTGTGTGTGTCTGTGTGTGTGTGTGTGTGTGTGTGTGTGTGTCTGTGTGTGTGTGTGTGTGTGTGTGTGTGTGTGTGTCTGTGTGTGTGTGTGTGTGTGTGTGTGTGTGTGTGTGTGTGTGTGTGTGTGTGTGTGTTTGTGTGCAGGTATCAGATAAACGCTCGCACTGAACTTGCCGTTCGTTATAACGACATTTCTCCTCTGGAGAATCATCACTGCGCCGTCGCCTTCCAGATTTTCTCTCAGCCCGACTGCAACATCTTCTCCAGCTTCGACCCCGAGGCCTTCAAGCAGATCCGACAGGTGCAGGACAGGAGCACACACATGACAGGAGCACACACATGACAGGAGCACACACGACAGGAGCACACACATGACAGGAGCACACACGACAGGAGCACACACGACAGGAGCACACACGACAGGAGCACACACACAGGAGTACACAGGACAGGAGCACACACATGACAGGAGCACACACATGACAGGAGACACACACGACAGGAGCACACAGCAGCACACACGACAGGAGCACACACGACAGGAGCACACACGACAGGAGCACACACGACAGGAGACAGGAGCACACAGACCATAGAAGTAGACAGAACTACAGTAGTATACTAGACTACAGGAGTACACAGAACTATAGGAGTACAGTAGTACTGCTGTAGTACTACAGTAGTACTACAGCAGTACTACAGTAGTACTACAGTAGTCCAGAGCGTGGTCTTGAGTGTGTGTTTTTTGCAGGGGACCATCACACTGATCCTGGCCACAGACATGGCTCGTCACGGAGAAATCCTGGACTCCTTCAAACAGAAAGTCGACAGCTTTGATTATTCAGACGAAGAGCACGTCACCTGTGTGAGTGTCCTACAGAGGACGCTGTGTGTGTGTCCTACAGAGGACGCTGTGTGTGTGTCCTACAGAGGGCGCTGTGTGAGTGTCCTACTGAGGGCACAGTATGAGTGTCCTACAGAGGGCACTATGTGAGTGTCCTACAGAGGACGCGGTGTGAGTGTGTCCTACAGAGGGCGCTGTGTGAGTGTGTCCTACAGAGAACACTGTGTGAGTGTCCTACAGAGGGAGCTGTGTGAGTGTCCTACAGAGGGCGCTGTGTGAGTGTCCTACAGAGGACGCTGTGTGTGAGTGTCCTACAGAGAACACTGTGTGAGTGTCCTACAGAGGGCACAGTGTGAGTGTCCTACAGTGTGTGAGTGTCCTACAGAGGGCGCTGTGTGAGTGTCCTACAGAGGACGCTGTGTGAGTGTCCTACAGAGGACGCTGTGCGAGTGTGTCCTACAGAGAACACTGTGTGAGTGTCCTACAGAGGGCGCTGTGTGAGTGTCCTACAGAGGGCGCTGTGTGTGTGTCCTACAGAGAACACTGTGTGAGTGTCCTACAAAGGGCACTGTGTGAGTGTGTCCTACAGAGGGCACTGTGTGAGTGTCCTACAGAGGACGCTGTGTGAGTGTGTCCTACAGAGGGCGCTGTGTGAGTGTGTCCTACAGAGGGCGCTGTGTGAGTGTCCTACAGAGGGCACTGTGTGAGTGTCCTACAGCGGGCGCTGTGTGAGTGTGTCCTACAGAGGGCGCTGTGTGAGTGTCCTACAGAGAACACTGTGTGAGTGTCCTACAGAGGATGCTGTGTGTGTCCTACAGAGAACACTGTGTGAGTGTCCTACAGAGAACACTGTGTGAGTGTCCTACAGAGGACGCTGTGTGTGTGTCCTACAGAGAACACTGTGTGAGTGTCCTACAGAGGACGCTGTGTGTGTGTCCTACAGAGAACACTGTGTGAGTGTCCTACAGAGAACACTGTGTGAGTGTCCTACAGAGGACGCTGTGTGTGTGTCCTACAGAGAGCGCTGTGTGTGTCCTACAGAGGACGCTGCGTGTGTATCCTACTAATGTGTTTCATCAGATTTAGATTTTTAAATCCTGCAGAATTTCTCATTTTGGTTTTTTTAACTCTTAAAATAAAAATGTCACCTTTTAAATATTCAGTACAAATATTTTCAAGCCTCAAATTCAACAGTCTTGGTTCTTTCCTGGAATTTTTTTTCACTGTGAATTTTGACTGTTGAATTTGAGATCTTGTAAATATTTGTGCTGAATATTTAAAAGGTGACATTTTTATTTTGAATTTTAAACACTTTTAAAAATTATGCTTAAAATTTAAGCAACTCATGTTTTGAACCATGACTAAACCAGGACTAAACCAGGACTGAATCAAGACTGAACCAGGACTGAACCAGGACTAAAACAGAACTAAATCAGGACTAAACCAAGACTGGACAAGGACTGAACCAGGACTAAAGGTTTAAACAGTTTGTAATTAATATTTTTCATCATTTTCAACAAAACTAGAACAAAAATCGTAAAACTTCTTGGATCCTTCAGTACAAAATGTTCCAGGTGAACTTTGTTTGTTCCGGTGGAGTTTCCGGTGAGACGTGTCCTCGTGCCAAACCCGCCTCCTCTTTGTTTTTATTTCTTTACGGTGCGTCGTGTCTGAGGACTTTTATGGAAATCAAATCTTTTTTTATGATTTTATGGTTTTAGTGTGGACATAAACGAGAGCGCGTTTGTCTCTGCAGCTCAAGATGGTTCTGATCAAATGCTGCGACATTTCCAACGAGGTCCGGCCCATGGAGGTCGCAGAACCCTGGGTCGACTGTCTGCTCGAGGAGTACTTCATGCAGGTACTGGACCGGGACTAAACCAGGACTGGACCAGGACTAAACCAGGACTGGACCAGGACTAAACCAGGACTAAACCAGGACAAAACCAGGACAAAACCAGGACAAAACCAGGACTGAACCAGGACAAAACCAGGACTGAACCAGGACTGAATGAGGACTGAACCAGGTCTGGACCAGGACTGGACCAGGACTGGATCAAGACTGAACCAGGACTGGACCAGGACTGGACCAGGACTAAACCAGGACTGAACCAGGATTGAACCAAGACAGGACCAGGACTGAACCGAGACTGAACCAGGACTAAATGAGGCCAAAACTAGGACTGGACCAGGACTGGACTAGGACTAAACCAGTTCTGGACCAGGACTAAACTACATCTAAACCAGGTCTAAACCAGGACAAAACCAGGACTGAACCAGGATTAAATCAGGACTGAACAAGGACTGAAAAAGCATTAAACCAGGATTAAACGAGGCCAAAACTAAGACTGGACCACGACTGGACTAGGACTAAACCAGGGTTAAACCAGGTCTAAACCAGGTCTAAACCAGGTCTAAAGCCGGTCTTGTATGTGCAGAGTGATCGGGAGAAGACGGAGGGTTTACCTGTGGCTCCGTTCATGGATCGAGACAAAGTGACGAAGCCGACGGCTCAGATCGGATTCATCAAGTTTGTCCTGATCCCCATGTTCGAGACCGTCATGAAGGTACACGCCCCAAAACCCACGACCCACGACCCACGACCCACGACCCAAAACCCACGACCCGCGACCCAAAACCCACGACCCGCGACCCAAAACCCACGACCCACGCCCCAAAAACCCACGACCCGCGACGACCCAAAACCCACGACCCACGACCCAAAAAAACCCACGACCCACGACCCAAAACCCACGACCCAAAACCCACGACCCACGACCCAAAACCCACGACCCAAAACCCACGACCCAAAACCCACGACCCAAAACCCACGACACACAGCAGCAGCAGCAGGAGGAGGAGGAGGAGGAGTAGTAGCAGTAGTAGTAGTAGTAGTAGTAGTAGTAGTAGCAGTAGCAGCAGTAGCAGTAGTAGCAGTAGTAGCAGTAGTAGTAGTAGTAGTAGTAGTAGTAGTAGTAGTAGTAGTAGTAGTAGTAGTAGTAGTAGCTAGTAGTAGTAGTAGTAGTAGTAGTAGTAGCAGTAGCAGTAGCAGTAGTAGCAGTAGCAGTAGCAGTAGTAGTAGCAGTAGTAGTAGTAGTAGTAGTAGTAGTAGTAGTAGTAGTAGTAGTAGCAGTAGCAGTAGCAGTAGTAGTAGTAGTAGTAGTAGTAGTAGTAGTAGTAGCAGTAGCAGTAGCAGTAGCAGTAGCAGTAGTAGCAGTAGTAGCAGTAGTAGCAGTAGCAGTAGTAGTAGTAGCAGTAGTAGTAGCAGTAGTAGTAGCAGTAGCAGCAGTAGTAGCAGTAGCAGTAGTAGCAGTAGTAGCAGTAGCAGTAGCAGCAGTAGTAGTAGTAGCAGTAGTAGCAGTAGCAGTAGCAGTAGTAGTAGTAGTAGTAGTAGTAGTAGTAGTAGCAGTAGCAGTAGCAGTAGTAGCAGTAGTAGCAGTAGTAGCAGTAGCAGTAGTAGCAGTAGCAGTAGCAGTAGCAGTAGCAGTAGCAGTAGTAGCAGTAGTAGCAGTAGTAGCAGTAGCAGCAGTAGCAGTAGTAGCAGTAGTAGTAGCAGTAGTAGCAGTAGCAGTAGCAGTAGTAGCAGCAGTAGTAGTAGTAGCAGTAGTAGTAGCAGTAGTAGTAGTAGCAGTAGTAGTAGTAGTAGTAGTAGTAGTAGTAGTAGTAGTAGTAGCAGTAGTAGTAGTAGCTAGTAGTAGTAGCAGTAGTAGTAGTAGTAGTAGTAGTAGTAGTAGTAGCAGTAGCAGTAGTAGTAGTAGTAGTAGTAGTATTTTACAGGTCACATTCTGAGTATCTGTGGTGTTTCAGTTGTTTCCTCAGATCGAGGAGGCGATGGTTCAGCCGCTGCGAGAGTCCAGAGATCGATACGAAGAACTGAAACAGATCGACGACGCCATGAACGAGGTCAGACCACAGTACTGCACAAATACTACACAAATACTACAGTAGTACTGCACAAATACTACACAAATACTACAGTAGTACTGCACAAATACTACAGTAGTACTGCACAAATACTACACAAATACTACAGTAGTACTGCACAAATACTACAGTAGTACTGCACAAATACTACACAAATACTACAGTAGTACTGCACAAATACTACAGTAGTACTGCACAAATACTACACAAATACTACAGTAGTACTGCACAAACTACTACTACTACTACACAACAAAGTAGTGCACAAATACTACATAAATACTGCACAAATACTACAGTAGTACTGCACAAATACTACATAAATACTACCCTAGTACTGCACAAATACTACACTAGTACTACACAAGTGTACCACAGAACCTGAGGAGCTTGTGCAGATGTGTGAGTGGCGTGTGAGTGTAAAAGAGTCGGGTCGGAGGATCCTGCTCAGATTCCTGACGACTCCTGAACCACATGCACATAAAGAAACTAAGAATATACAGAAACTCAAATGACCTGAATGAACCTGCTCAGGTCGACCGGGTCCTCACGAGTCACTTGGAAAAAACTAGTTTTACTTGGTTCCCGTCGAGAACCAACTTTCTGGTTCCTGAACCCTCTGATTTTCATGAACATGTCAGTTGGTTCAAGATCAGGTGCAGGAACCGACACCGGCCTGACTCTGTCAACCTGAAAACACTGAGAACTTTCAAATGTGTTTGACCCCTGTGTGACCCCCATTTGACCTCTGTATGACCCCTGTATGACCTCTGTGTGACCCTCAGGTGCAGAAGAAGAAAAGCGAGAACCTCACCATGGGAAGCAAGAAGAAGTGAGAGTGATGAGGTACAAACACACACAGACACACACACAAACACACACACACACACACACACAGACACACACAGACACACACACAGACACACACACACACACACAGACACACACACACACACACACACACACACAAACACACAGACACACACACACACACACAGACGCAAAGACACACACACACACAAACACACAGACACACACAGACACACACACACTAAGGAGTAAGAAGCTGTCAAAAATATTTGTGCACATAAAATAGAAATCCGTGCATATTTGTCTGTAGTTGCGCATAAAATAAATATTTGTAAACTCTCAAATGAGTCCAGTCGTACATAAAATATATTGTGTGTATTTTATCCATCAGAATACGAATTGAAAAGTTACGACGTCATGAATTACAATCACGAAATGAAAATGTACGATTACGCTTTCATCAGTACGAATACGAATTCACAGACGGAACTTTACTGTCAAAAATACATCATCACTTCACAGACATTATTCATCGAGCAGAAGAAACATCGATCAAGATCAAGACTGAGCAGCTCAAGTTTGTATCAGAGTAAAAACAGAGTAAAAGCACAAGAAGCTACAACAGAACAACAAGTGGGTTCATTCAAATCTATTGTAAAAATGTCTTGAATTCAGGAACTGAACGCTGCTGTATAATATTGTGTAGAAACACCTCCTTTGAACGGGAAATTGCACCTATATGTTAGAAAACATAGTGGAGCCAGTTGGCAAACATCAGACGTAACGTTATCCCAGGACTAATTAACAAATATCAGGTTCTCTGTATGTTTAGATTAAAACATTCACGACTACAGCCACAGCGAGCATCAGTCAGTCTGAACCTTCAGCTGCATTTCAGACAATGGGTTTTTCATGAGTTATAATGGGTTATACGTGAGCTTAAATGGGTTATACATGAGTTATAATGGGTTATACATGAGCAAATCCATCCATGACACGGTGACGTTATACTTACCGGTAAATACTGTAAACATACCAAGGTGTTGCCTGTAAACACGAACATTAATTGTTGCTGGAAGCTGCATTAAAGTGTAATGTGTAACATTTCATTGGCTGTGACGTCGTAACCAGGACAGTTTGGTGTTTGGTGTAAACTGGGACATTTCAGCGTCCGGAGGAACTGCTGGTGGCATTTCATGCGAGAAATGCAGCTGAAGGTTCAGACTGACTGATGCTCGCTGTGGCTGTAGTCGTGAATGTTTTAATCTAAACATACAGAGAACCTGATATTTGTTAATTAGCCCTGGGAGAACGTTACGTCTGATGTTTCCAACTGGCTCCACTATGTTTTCTAACATATAGGTGCAATTTCCCGTTCAGAGGAGGTGTTTCTACACAATATTATACAGCAGCGTTCAGTTCCCGAATTCAAGACATTTTTACAATAGATTTTAATGAACCCACTTGTTGTTCTGTTGTAGCTTCTTGTGCTTTTACTCTGTTTTTACTCTGATACAAACTTGAGCTGCTCAGTCTTGATCTTGATCGATGTTTCTTCTGCTCGATGAATAATGTCTGTGAAGTGATGATGTATTTTTGACAGTAAAGTTCCGTCTGTGAATTCGTATTCGTACTGATGAAAGTGTAATCGTAACATTTTCATTTGGTGATTGTAATTCATGACGTCGTAATTTTTCAATTCGTATTCTGATGGATAAAATACACACAATATATTTTATGTACGACTGGACTCATTTGAGAGTTTACAAATATTTATTTTATGCGCAACTACAGACAAATACGCACGGATTTCTATTTTATGCGCACATGAATATTTTTGACAGCTTCTTACTCCTTACACACACACACACACACACACACACACACAGACACACACACACACACACACACACACACACAGACACACACACACACACACACACACACATTGAGTTTCTGTGCATCCTGGAAACACCTCACTGAATACACCCAATAATAAAAGATTTATGTCATGAGAACTAACTCAGGTCTAATCCAGGACTAACTCAGGTCTAACTCAGGACTTAACTCAGGTCTAATCCAGGACTAACTCAGGTCTAACTCAGGACTAACTCAGGTCTAACTCAGGACTAACTCAGGACTAACCCAGGACTAACTCAGGTCTAATCCAGGACTAACCCAGGTCTAATCCAGGACTAACTCAGGTCTAACTCAGGACTAACTCAGGTCTAACTCAGGACTAACTCAGGACTAACCCAGGACTAACTCAGGTCTAATCCAGGACTAACTCAGGTCTAATCCAGGACTAACTCAGGTCTAATCCAGAACTAACTCAGGTCTAATCCAGGACTAACTCAGGTCTAACTCAGGACTAACTCAGGTCTAACTCAGGACTAACTCAGGACTAACCCAGGACTAACTCAGGTCTAATCCAGGACTAACTCAGGTCTAATCCAGGACTAACTCAGGTCTAACTCAGGACTAACTCAGGTCTAACTCAGGACTAACTCAGGTCTAACTAACTCAGGACTAACTCAGGTCTAACTCAGGACTAACTCAGGTCTAACTCAGGACTAACTCAGGTCTAACTCAGGACTAACTCAGGACTAACCCAGGACTAACTCAGGTCTAATCCAGGACTAACTCAGGTCTAATCCAGGACTAACTCAGGTCTAACTCAGGTCTAATCCAGGACTAACTCAGGTCTAACTCAGGACTAACTCAGGTCTAATCCAGGACTAACTCAGGTCTAATCCAGGACTAACTCAGGTCTAACTCAGGTGTGTGTGTTTGTGTTTGCAGCACAGTGAGTGTAGATGGAGGACGTGCCTTGTGACCAGAGACCAGGACCAGGACCAGGACCAGACCTGTGCCCCTCCGGACCGACTCCGAACCGCCGCCTCAGGACCGTCGCCTCAGGGACCCTCCACCCGTTTGGTTTTTTACACTTTGTACAGATTTTTAGTGACTTGATCTTTGCTACGAAAATAAAGTTTTGTCAAAAAAACGTCGAGTGTCGAGTTTTTCCTCAGAGTTAAAGTCAGGTCATGTCGGAGTTTTCCTTTCACTGAAAACTGTAAACAAACGACGACTTCCCTGCAGCCGTGAGCGCTCGGTCACTGTGTGTGCTTTTGTTTTCGTTTGTGTTTCTTCAAATCTCAAATCACTTCTCAAAAAAACTCAGGTCAAATCTGCTCTGAAACTGAAACTGAAACTGAAACTGTTCTGGTGGACGAGAAGTTTTACCTGAACTTGTCCAAACCAAAACCATCAAAAGAACTCAGGAGCTCAGCTGGAACATCAAAAACAAACTTTTTCTACTTGAGACCCCTGCTGGACGAATAAGGAATTTATTTATTTATTTATCTATTTATTTATGTATTTATGTATTTATTTTATTACTGACAAATGAAAGGAGGTCAGGCTTCACACTTAATACAGATCCATAAAGGAAAGAATTAGTAATAATAATAATAATAATAATAATAATACAGAACTAATAATAATACATAAATAACTAAATAATATAAAAATAAAAAAAAAGAACATAGAAAACACAAATCAAAAACTAAAACAGTAAAAGTAACTCAACAAACAACTCAAACATTTTAAAGTAAAGAATGAAAGAAATCAGAGGTGGAACCAAGTCGTCGTTTTGCAAGTCTCAAGTCCGAGTCAAGTCCCAAGTCAAAGACAGGAAAGTCCAAGTCAAGTCCAAGTCGAGTCTCGAGTCACTGGTCCATAAGTCCTAGTCAAGTCCAAGTCAAGTCCAAGTCGTCTGGTTTGAGATTCAAGTCATTTCAAGTCTTTAAACCAAATATAGCGTAGATTTTTGCAACTTATATGAAATTTTAAACTAAATTGTACTTAAAACGTCATGGTTTATTTATATATGAGTTTATATATTATTATTATTTATATATAAGAGTTGTAGAAATGCATTTTTTTCTTTTTAAACGTCTTGTTAAGATTTTAGTGTGAATTATTACAGTCAGAACAGAAAGAATTCAGATTTAAAAGTGATAAATATCAGTGATTTTGTCGTGTGTCTGCACTGAAACTGAGTTCCACCTGTTTTACTGTATTGTACTGTGTATTACTGTATATTACTTTTGAGTATCACAGTACTTCAGTTACTGTTGCCATAGTAACGAACAGAGAAGTGGGAGGGGCATGTTCCAGTTTGTTGTAAAGAGAAAAGTATTTTATAAATGCATTTATTTTTTTTAAGAGAAGCATCAAGTCGTCTCAAGTCACAGGCCTCAGGTCCGAGTCGAGTCCCGAGTCACTGACCTTCAAGTCTCAAGCGAGTCCCTTTTATCAAGTCAAAACTCAAGTCCTAAAAATACTGAAAACACTCTGCAAGAAATAAACAATGACAAAAAAATTATTATTATTATTATTAATTTATTTATGTATTATTTTTATTATTTATTTATTTTTTTTTTTTTTCTCTAATACCGGAGAGCAAATTTTCCATTTCCTCTTATGCTCTAATAATAATTTATTTTTCTAGATTGTGAATTATGTTTTTAAATTATTCTAAACATAAATTTGATGTTGTTGAAGCCTGAAAAATAAAAATCTTTGCTAAAAAAATTATTGTATTCAGAAAAGGTGTGAACTTCCCTCAAAAATACTCAACACGATGTTTCAAAAAAGGGATTACGACAACTTTTAATCACAAAAACGACACTTGATTCTTGATTTGTTGATAATTTATTTCAAAACTTAAAAAGACAACTTAAAAAAATGAAATCTGCCGTGAACTCTGCGTGTTTGTGTGTTTGTGTGTGTGAGAGACGTCCTCAGGATCCATTGGTCTCAGATTTGGACTCGGTTTTGGACTTGGTCTTGGACTTCTTGGGCCGGTTCTGGTCCCGGCTCTGGTCCCGACTTCTCTTCTGGCTCTGCTGCTCCAGACGCTGCTGTTTCTTCTTCATGTACTCGCTCACGTTGTCGTAGGTCTCCACGTAGAGGTGCTCCAGACGACTGCTGCTGCGCTGAGCTTCTGCAGAGGAACCACAGGAACCCACATGAGAACCAGAAGAACCAGAAGAACCAGAGGAACCAGA